CCTTTGTGGGGCTGAGATAATACTGAATTACAAGTTGAATGAGCTGGTGTGAACCTCAGGCAAGTCACTTCATCTTTCAGGACTCAAATTTCAGGCTTGTAAAATGAAGAGCAGGGATAAATTGCCAAGTTTCCTTCCAGGTTAAAAAAATCATAAGCATAGTTTAACATTTTAAATAACTGTGGAATTTATAGATTTATTTCTTTTCTTTTATGATGTAGTTTTGATCACAGTATAATTTAATGAGCCTCAGTCCCTCATCAGGAATACAAATTCCAATGGTAACACCCTCTCTAGAAAAAACAGAATCCATTTTACCACAGTGCAGTATATGTTCTGATTTCCCCCACAGTCTGCCTGCATTTACCCTTTTCAGGTTTCATCCCTGAAAGTTTAGTTATTTGTTTACCCTCTTATGCCCATACCTCTCTGGGGAGGCTACATGTTATGCTGTCTCTTGGAGCTGCAGCCTTGTCCAGTGGCTAGATGCTCTGCAGCAACCTCTCACATCTCAGCTTAGATTTATCATTGAAGAGAATATCAGGAAACACATAGAAAGCATCTATTAGGATGCCCAATAAGTATGCTTGGTATATGAAACAGCATGATGTGTGTGACATCATCAAAATGCGGCATTGTTTTCGTCCTCCATTCAGATGTTTCTCCAACCATCAGATAAAAACTCAGCAGAATGCATGGCTCACTGTTGGGTCACTTAGAGGCCCGTGGTAACTTTAAGTCACAAAACACAGTTTTGGTTCAAAATCAGTGCCTGCTTCCAAGAGATTAATCACCACTTCCCTCTTCATGCAGAAGATGGCTGCTTCTTTCATTGCCTAGATGCTTAAGCCTTCAGGGCCCAGAGGTGGGAGAAGGAAAAGGAGAGGAGGACTGAAGAAAAGGAAAGCAAAGTTTTCACCTGATGGGTGAGTGGCACTGTCCTAAGTAAGCCAGGCAGGAGGTTCATGCTGACCCTTGCCCTCCTAGCGGTGCCATTGTTCTGATTGCTAGCTGAGCTTTCCAGGAAAGATGCTCCATGCTCTTGATGTGCGTCATGCTCATTTGCCTTTGGCTTGCCACTTCTTTTCTATCCATCAGGTTCCCATTTATTGTTGTTCCATCCCACTGTTTTTGGGGTCCCTTTACTCCAGGTTAGGAACCCTGTTGGGCAGAAAAGTCTTGGGGAAGAATATCTTTGACAATGGCCCCTTATTATTTTCCAATGAATTCTTAAATAGGGCACAAAAAAGATTGATGAATTATATTTCATTAGAACCTTTGAGGTTTCATTTAGGTGTAGAAAGTTAGAATATTGTTCTCACTTTCCCACAAGAAAAAGGTGAATCACCTACATTAGGACTTCTCTTGAACCCATCAAAGAGCAGAGGTCACAAGGCAATAAACTAGCTTGAAATGTAAGGAAAGAGACTCCTCCAAGGAGATCCAGGATGTGGCAACTGACTTACTTGTACAGAGCACCTGGGAAAGATGAGGCCATTATGGAAGTGGGTAAAAAGTTTGCAGCTAAAATATTGTAATAAATTGATAAATTTTAATGATTTACAAGTTTTAATGACTTTGCAGAGCATGAGACTATAGAACCTGTGGAAGCTACAAACACAAGGGGAATTTGGACCCACTCTCAGGCTTTTCTCCACAGATCTCACAGAGTGCTCACAAAAAAAAGATTGGAGTCAGGGTAGGAGACCAGAGAAAGCATCCTATGGCAGTGCAGATCGGCCAGAGAGAATCCAAAGCCCTATAGAATGAACACCTATAACTGCTAGAGGAAAAGCCATGAACCCACTAGGGGTGCAAGTGTAGACCCATCACAACTGGGGGAGGCATAGAAAACTGTCTTCTTTACAAGAACAGCAAAAACATGAAGCAGAATTTGTCTGCTATGGGGAAAAGAGTAGAATCGCTGAGTAAGGCCTAGCCCCAAGACCGAGGGACACAGGCCCTGCCTGAGACTGAAGCTGGACCAGTATTGCAGAATGCCTCTTCCTCTACCAGACTAGCAAGTGTCTAGTGACAATCTAGTGCAGGGAGAAGAACAAGAGTGTGGTAGGGCTGGGCACAGTGGCTCACCTGCAATCTCAGTGCTTTGGGAAGCCAAGGCAGAAAGATCGCTAGAGGCCAGGAGCTCAGGACCAGCCTGGGTAACATAACAAGACCCTGTCTCTACAAAATATTGAAAAATTAGCCAGGCATGGTTGGTGCATGCCTGTAATCTCAGCTATTTGGAAGATGGAGGCAGGAAGATCACTTGAGCCTAGGAATCTAGGCTGCAATGAGCTATGATTATATCACCACATTCCAGCCTGGGCAATAAAGTGAAACCCTGTCACTTAAAAAAAAAAGACACCATCTGAGGCACAGGCTCACCAGGAAGCCTAAAGTCTACTCCCACTATAAGCAAGGTAACATTAATTGTCAAAAACTTGAAACAACTGATGAATGGAAAAACTGTAACATATCCATGTCATAGAATACCACTCAGCAACAAAAAAGAACAAACTATTGATGCCAACAACATGGCTGGATTTAAAATGCATTATGCAAAGTGAACAAAGCCAGACTCAAAGGCTACAAACAGTTGACTTACACTTACATGACCTTCTAGAATAGGCAAAACTATAGGGATGGAGAACAGATCAGAGCTTGCCAAAGGCTGGAGGAAGATGAGGGGTTGACTACAAAGGAGTGCAAAGAATTTTTGAGTGGTGGTGGAACTGTTCTATATCTTGATTATGGTGGTAGTTACACGTCATGCATTTTCAAAATTCATAGAACTATACATTTAAAATGGTGATTTTACTGTATATAACATATCTCAGACATTTAAAAATAAAAAAAACCAGTACTTCATTAAAATTAAGAAGTTTTGGTCATTTAAAGATGCCATTAAGAGATTGAAGAGACAAGTCATTGATTGGGAGAAAATGAAAAGAAATAGCTGTTGTTTACAGAATATATAAAGAACATATAATTAAGTGAGAAAAAAGCACGCAACCCACAGAAAATAGGCAAAAGATTTGAGTGGGGTTTTCACAAAAGAGGATATCCAAATGGCTAATAAGCATATAAAAAGATGCTAGGACAGCTTTATTCTAAGTGCAAATGAAAATCAAAATGAGGTAACACTATTCAGTCACCACATTCGATGAAATTAAAGATTAGCAATACCAATGTTGGGAAAATGTGATGTAACTGAATTTGGTTGCAAATTTGTATAACCACTTTGGAAAACTATGTGGTAGTATTTACTAAAGCTAAACACAACTGAGCCTTATGATGCAGTGATTTTGCTCCTAAGTATAATATCTATCCAATAGTAATGAATATATATGTCCACCAAGAGACATGTTCAAGAATGTTGATAGTGCCATTATCATAACACAAACCTGAAAACGACTCAAATTTCTGTTGGTAGGAAAACTTATACTATGAAATACTACACAGCAATAAAGAACAAATACCTGTAACATGGCACAGAGATGAAACAGATATGATGAGTGCAAGAAGTACAAAGGACTATATACTATAAATATCTCATTTGATTTATACAATGTTCAAAGTAGACAAAACTAATCTGTGGTCATGAAGGCAGAAAGTGGCTACGGGTGGGGATTGTATTTACTGAGAAGAAGCATGAAGGAGCCTTCTGAGCTGCAGGAAATATTCTAGGTTTTGATCTCAGTGGTTTTTCATGGGTGTGTTTGTGTTTCATAAAACTTCATTCAATTGTACACATAAATACTGTGCACTTGTGTATTTTACTACATGTATGTTTATCTCAGTGCAATACAATACAAAGAAATATAACTTTCAGCATAGCTCAAGAGCTAATGATAATGTGTTCAAAATGAATATAAAAAAACTAGGAACACAATAACTTGTCATGGCCCCTTGCCCCTGTGTCTTTCTTATCAGCCTGAAGATGGAGAAGAAACATGTCTTAGCACTGAAGCCCATAACAGATCAGCCTTGATGCAGCTCCCATTCATTTTAGGTCCCAAGCTTGTGTAATGTCAAAATAAATACCTTTTTTGTTTTAAAAAATGCAGATGAAAGATTTTCCTCTAATGTTTTAAAACAGAGACATTTGTTTTATATGCTCTTAATTGGTATAGCTTAATTAGTCTGCCAGTCATTTTCTATCAAGCAAATAAAATTTCTTGTTGCATCATCCTCCTACCATATCATTTATCAATTCAAGATTTGTGTACTTCAAGTATGTTATTCCTCAATACAATTGTTTTTAATGGCCCTGGCCAACACTCCTGTGGAGGCCATATCCATGTCAGGCCTCCAGGACTCATACACTGTGACCCTCCTGCGGAATGCAATTGTTCCCAACACAGCAGCCACTTTTACAGTTCTGCCTCGGAGGCAGTTCCTCTATTTCCCTCTAAGCATCCCACTGGTCCTCAATCCTTCTAAAAGCAAGGGTTACTTACCAACTCCCAAGCCACCCTCAATCCAGCCCCCGAGACATTTCTGGGTCTGAGGAAGAGGAAAACCCGGCCTACTCCCCCACATTTTGCTGAGGACTCATACACAGCCCTGCAAACTTCCCCAATGTATCTCATCATGAAGCCTCTCTCCTCCTCCTCACTTGAACTTTTTGCTGTCTTCTCATGTGAATGAGAAGTCCAAGAGTCTTTGAATCAGCATCAGTTACTTTATCATTACACTTGCATTTTCATCTAGCACCTCCATCTGATGTGCACGTCTATGGTTAAGATTGAATATCTCAATCAAAACTTCAATATTAACATCCTATTGTAACTTTTCAGTTGAACCATGTGAAATTGTTTATTGTTGACTGTTTGTGACCTAAGAAATGCAATTTTATACAGTTCAACCTAATAGTTTTATTCAAGATAGGCTTTTTTTAAAAAGAGAAGCTGAACTTTAGGTTGAGTTTGAACAAAAGGAAAAAATAGGTTCTTCAAGATCCAGGCAAATGCTGAAATACCTGTACAGCATCTTACCTTGGCTTTCAGATCAGCACACAATTCCTGTTGCTTTTTCTTGTCCTTAGCCAATGTGCTCTCCATTTCATGAGTTGTACAAGCCTCGATCAGTGTCATCACAGCCTTCTGTATAAAGTCTTTCCTATTTTTATTCCAATTTGCTATCAGGATCTTTCGTTGCTCCATAGCAAAGTGATATTGGTCACAATATTTCTCATGTTCAACCTGAAAAGTAACAGAGGGTGGATATTTACCCTTATGAAAGTGAGCTTATATTTGTGTCATTGTTACAAAAATGAATTATAACCAAACATTTTGAAAAACTGGGGGTCAAATATCTTCATCATAAATACAGCAACCAGAAACCAGGTACTACCTCCAAAACTGAGCCTGTGGATAATTGGTGACTGAGGACAAGTCACTTAATGATTCCAAATCCTTAGTTTCCTCATATAGGATGCAGTTATATCAGGTAACCTCTAAAACCACTTTCATTTCTAAATGGTAATGATTCTATGAGCAGAAAGCAACATTTTCCCTATACATGGCTTTTAAAATACCCCATCTTTACATCAATTTTGGTATTTTAACAATTATATCAACTGTTTCATTTAAACAAAATGCTAATAAATGTAAAAATTGCTACATAAATCCTGAAAACTCAAGTTTTACCCTTAATTACTGAGACATTCAGATGTTAGGATGCCTTAACTTAAAGTAGTAATAGCAATGGCACTGAGCCCTTCCTATCCTATGCTCACCAGGGACATGGCATTTTCACATCAGCAGCAGTAGCTCCTTTTGGAAGTGAATCTCAACCATGGGAAGTAGCAGAGTCTTGAGGGGAGAACAAGAATGGAGGGAACCTGAGTAGCCTGGAAAAATTCGGTGGGTAATTCTGAAATGCTCCCCAGAAAAAGGTGTGTCTTCCAAAGTTGAAAGTCACTGATCTAAATAAATCTTTATTTTGCCAGTATATACCATGATGCTGAATTTAATACATTATTTAACCCTTAGGAACTGTGAGAAAAGCAGCTAGCAAACAGGATAAGGTACATCCCACCTAAAATAATAGTTGAAGTATGATGAATTCAGTACACAGTAAAACAACTTACTTGGTCTCACTTAAATGTATTAGCTACTAAAATCTGTTCTGTAAACTCCTCAGCTTTGTTTTATAAAGCCAAAAATATACTTAATATCTGTCAAACATTAAGAAAGGAAGAATACACCACACAGAAATGGATGCTAATTAATCTAATGTAAGAATTAAATGTAAAAATCTTTATCATGGTAATAGGAAAATATAAAATGTGCAAGTTATAATAAAAATGACAACTTGTCACAGAAGCAAATAGAATCCATAGGGAACAAAAGGAAAGATCTAATTTAATAAATGAAAGATGTTTAAAAATCCAGAGCGAATTACTTATTATATAACAGGTATCTGTTACCAAAATAAAGGGGGAGGGGTGAAGAGGATGAAAGAGGATGGGAGAAAATGATCACAGTAGCTGTGTGACCTTTGCATCAGTTTTTTCATCTAAAACTAAGGATAGCAATAATATTTTTCTCGTCCACTGTTATGTGTGTTCAAGAAGTTTCCACGTGACTAACATATGACAACTTCAATCTACATGTGAGTATTGTTGTTACTTGCTTAATCTAAAACAATTACAAAAATGCAGAGTACGTGATAAGATGCTATAGCATGGAGCATTTAAAAATTAAAAGTCTGTGTTTTTGTTTACATGCATGTTATAAGGTGAGTTATTGTGAAAATAATTGGTGACAGGGAAACTTCTGTTTTTTTGCCCTTGTGTTCTTGTTGACTAAAGAATGAAACTTAAATCAAACAGTAATTTCCCAGTTCCCTTTTAGGAAAATCTCAGTCACATCTTTGAGTTCTGTATTTGGGGTATCTGTGTTTCAGATCCATCTAGAAGGATCAAGCAGAGCTGTAGTGCTGGGAAAGAGATAAAAGTACCAGCCCCAGGAAAAGTGCTGGCCTCCATGTGGCTAGAAACACTGAGGTGGGGCAGGCATTTGGGGTATGCCTGCCCCACCTCAGTCTTTGAATGGAGGAGCAGGCATTTCACTTTCAGGCAAGACCTGGAGATGGCAAAGCCCCTTGAAGGTGAGTATCTGGCTACACAGACACTCGGGAGTCAAATACGAACAGAGCAGCCACGGGACCACAGTGAAGATCTCTGCAGCAAGTAGGCACAGAGACTGACTTTTATCTGAGGAGATCGCCCACCTCGTTATGAACAGGACAAACTTGTAAAACTGACCTGTACAGGCTTTCAAACTATTATATAACCCTATTATTTTCTAGTATGTAAGAAAAAAATAATTTTTAAAGACCCATGCAAAATATATGTACATGCTTAATAATCACTGACTACTAAAACAATTTCACTTGCAAGTATGTAGGTAGGTCCAGCCCTCACCAAATCATGCCTAGATTTGTGAGGAAAATATCTTTGTAACATGTCCAGATAGAGAGCCCTTCTTCCAAAGAGATCTCCAGAGTACTGATCCAAAATAGCCCGGTAAATCCAGTGTTCTTCTTCACTTAGTTGACAGTTTCTGGAAGCAACAAAAATGTTACAGCGTATTATTGAGGAATCATGAAGTCTGAAGGACTCAAACTATTCAAGCTATTAGCAAGTGACAGTAATGATGCAAAATGAGGTTTCTGTGATTTTAAAATACATTAGCCAAATTTAATGTCTGTTTCAGAAAAGTTTCTAAATTCTAATGCAATGAGTTCCTTCTTTATTTGGTCTTGCCATGAGTGTAAGGCATAATTTGAGTAAGTTTGATGAGACACAGTATTTTTAAAGTATTTATTCTAGCTTACCTATAATGATATTTTAGAAATCATGACCAATGAATGAAATAAACGTTAGAAAATAAATGATTATGTATACAGATTAAAAAGGAATTTTATTTATTCGACAAGGTTCCTATGTCTAAACTGGAGAAAAGTATAAATGTAGACAGTTAAATGGGCAATTATGTAAAGGAAAATAAAGACAAACTGAGGAAGAGACTTATTTAAGATTTGACTTCAAAAGAAAATCTAAAATTATCTTTTATTGAGTGCTTCATAAAGGCAATGCTAAATATTAGCAGTAAATGATAACCAACAGCATTAAAACCACTAAAGAAATGATTTGTAAATAGGATCTCTTCAAGTCACCTTCCCAATAACATATCCACTATGCTCCAAAAGGCCTTTTCCATTTCAGAACACTCCTAGACACCATCCTAGTTTGCATTCTTTACAGAGTATTAGCAAAGCCTTGTGCAGAGTAAAAAGTTTGCAATATCAGCTGGAACTCTAAACTGAATTAATAGCTTTTTATATTCTGAGTTTATTTTGCATATCATTATTCCTGTTTAATAAATTAGAATAATCAAATACAAATGCAATCAGGGGGAATATTATTAGCAACAAATACTTCTTAATCCAGGAGGAGACTTGTCATTGTTTATTTCTACTATATCAATGGTCTTATACTCTAAAGTTAACTGTGCAATTCAAAGAATTTCTTATATATCTTCCATGCCCCTGGAAAATATTTGACAACTTAAAACAGAATAAAACACCTCTTAAATCAGTGATACTAATGGGAATTCCAATGTTCTCATACAAATTTATTATTCTGACAAGTAGCAAGAGAGAAAAATTCTTTTTTAAAAATCCTTTCTGTTTCATAATAGGGAGAAAAAAGGAGAGTTGGGGGTGTTCTACCAGGAAGAGGAATATTCTACAGTTCTTCAGTATGACATAATAATTTATTGCAGAGAGAACTGGAAATGAATTCATTGAACACACCAAGTGTTCAGTCCTGTCTGAATCAGTTATGCTTGTACAGACAAAGGCTTCTGCAAATAAAGCAGTACAAATAGGAGTATTCAGCCAGAAGAAATGTTTGCCTGAGTAAACTTGGCATTTAAAACACCTTCAGGTTTTCATGGACAATATCACATGTCCTCTCGCAAGGAGCCCATCTTCATTCACATTAACATAAATGCATTTTAATAACAGAGTTAGCCACATAAATTCTGCATTACCATACCACAAACAACAAACAAAAATAGAACTAAAGTCCATGTCCTCATTAATGTTTATAAAATGTTTTTTTAATCAAAGGAACTTGAAAAAAGTTTGAATTTCCACCGTATTTGATAATAAATGTGAATGTGCAGGTATGTTACCTTGGGAAGGGGAAGCAATAGAAGCTAGGTCCAATCCATTCTCTGTTTCTCTAAATTTTGATTCAACTATATAATGGATGTTGTTGGTACCACACCCAGATCACCTTTATTCAGTGGAATTTCCATCACCAAGATGCTGCGAATCTTGGCAGATAACTCACAGATGCCCCTTCCTTCTCTGGAGAATTGCCCTAGACCAAGTGGGAACTGCCTCTCCCACCCTCTTTCAAGGAGGCTTTCCTCTTTGAAAGGCCAAACATAACCAATGACTGACTTACCTGGAGATATAGAAAGCCAGCCTACTTGCCTTCAGAGAGGATCAACTCTATGATACCTTTGTACTGGGAGCAAACTGTGGCCAGTCTCCACTGATACCTTCTTGCTCACTCATTTCCCCTCCTCTATTTGGCTTCCTTCACAGCCCTCCCCCTGAGAGCACCTCCCAACAAATCTCTTGTTTAGGAATCCCTGTCTCAACTTTGTTTCAATAGAACCTACCCTAAGATAATCTGCAAGCAATCTTACCCATAATTTTCAAAGATAGTTTAAATCTTTTGGTAAATAGAGATGTAATTGCAAATTAATTTCTTTGATGATATCTCATACTGAGTGGCAGTGCAAGACTGTGGCTGTCTTCAAGGAGAAAGTGCAAATGGCAAACATTTACAAAAATGCTTTCCAAATAGAAGCACACATTAAGCAGTGTACATTGCTATAAATAAATATAGCAGCAGGAGAATTTGCGGCACTCAGTGCATTTTTATACATTGCATGAGTGTATTAATTAGCTGCCATTTTAGTGACAATATTAAACCACTAAAACATATGAAATGATCATAAAACATTAAAGCCAGATATTTCAAAGCAAGCATGCCACAAATGGTCACCATATCCATTTTGACCTTCTTGTTGATTTTAGAAGCCTCACATCCTACCAGTTTTTTCCAGTTACCAAAATTACTCAAATTGCAAGTCATTTTTTAGTAAATGTAGAATAAAAATTTTAAAACATGCTTAAAGGTAATGATATATAAATATTCACAATATTATTCTTTTTAGGTTATGCATTTATAGCAGTTTCCAGAGCCACAGCGTTAAATATTGGAGCAAATAATCACACAGGCAGTAATAATGGCACAGCCTCCATCTCCATTAAATGATACATGTGAGGAAGAGAGAAATCTCCCTCAGCTACATACATACCCTACATATACACCAAGCCTTTGGATAGTAAAAATCTAAGAAGAATATTTAAACATAGTAGCCTCATCACAATAACAAAGTAGCCACTTCTGAAGAACATGGCCCTTGAGCTTCAAAAATAAAATCAAATTCAATATATTTGCATTTCTAAACATAAATCTGGACACTTTTAAAATCAAACCTTCATCTCTTTTTGTACAGAAAAAAAATCTATATAAAATAGCTGAGACTAAGGTTAGGTTTTACCTTTCAAAGTCCTTGTTGAATTCAGCTGCTTTGCTGGTGATTCTAATGACAAAACTAGCTAAACTGCATAGACAGTGAAAAATACTCTGATTGCTTATCTACTTTCTGAATTTGAAAAATGACTATCATGTTAAAGGAAAATTTTAAAGAAAACTTTTAAATTGCCCTAAGCCATTCATAGTTTACAAAAAAAATCTTTAGTAGTTATCCGCAATTTCTATTTCTTTTTGTCCATCTAAACTTTCTAATTTAAAGTGCTTTAGAATATTCATCTTTATCATGGCCTGTCAAGATTTTACAATCTGTGGGTTTACTGAGTACTTCTAACACTTCAAGGAATTTCAGCCTACAAAAAGGTGAGGTATTTACCACTCAATTCTCATTCACAATCCCCTGCCCCACAATATGGCATCTGACCACAGATATAATTTTACTTTGATTTCTCAGGAAGTGAGACAAAAGAGATAATTCAGAAAACAACAACAGAGCTGTAAAATTCGCCCTGACCCAGGCCAATTGTCTCCCTAATTCTACCTGTTTGAATTATTACAAGAATCCTAAAGTGACTCACAATTAACTTAGCTACTAGTGTTCCTCATAGCCATGTTTAAACCAGTTTCCTTGGGTTCCGATTCTATGACATTCAAATAAATTTAGGGGTGGAGGACAAGCAATGGTGGCAAACGAGACACATAAAGGTAACAGGTACTTTAACAATAGAAACAAGTTTATGAAACCAAACATCATGCTCACAAAATGACTGAAAGTTGTTTTACATTTTCTCAGAGTGAGGGTGCTTTCCAGGCAAAAAGGTAGTTAGCGCCTCCGAAGCTAGCTGATGCAATAGTGAACCTGACCTGAGTTTGGAGTGCAGTGAGCCACCATTCAGCTAATGTGGATGAGAAACCATCCTCTTGCTTGGCTGCATCAGGTCTGACTCTCTGTAATACACAATTTGACTTCACTTTTCAATGTTTTCTTTCTAAGACAGAACCATTCAAATACCCAATCTACTCAGCCTGGTTTCTTCATCCACCAATGATCCCAGCTCAGGCCCACTGTCCAAATATAAATCTATGTCTGATTTTCAGTCTGGTTTACAGGAGGCTCCCTCCTCCCAGACCCATTTCTGACCAACAGAATCTACTCCTCAGATCTTCCCTGGGTATGCATCTTTTCTTCCTGAGAGATCCATTCCCATTTCCATAGTCCCTAGCTCTAGCAGTCTGGCTACTTAGCTGGAAGCTGACAACCAGGATAAAGTGGACTTTCACAGGTAAGGTCAAAATCCATTGAAACAAAGAATCAAAAAAATAAATAAATAAAAATAAATAAATAAGTGACCTATAGGGTAAAGCAAAAGCTTGTGCCAAATTCCAAAACCTCATTCTTCCGAAAGAAGATGAAAAGACAGTAGAGTTTGAAAAGTGATGGCTTTGGGCATCTGGTCAGAATGGGAGGCTAAGCCATTTATCTGGAAATGTATTTGGAAAATTGCTATTTTCCAAATAGTAAGCACATTGTTTTTACTTAGATTTTTTTAGAGTAGTTTACATAGAAAGCTCTTTTTTTTTCTTTTTTACTTAGAATGTATATTTTTGGAGGTAGAATAGTAGGGATGATGGCAAGCCTCTTAAACCCATCTTTGTCTCTGAAACATCCATCCACCAGTAGTTTTCTAGTGGAAGTTCGGAAATAGCATAATCGAAATACAATAGCCTTTTCCTTTTTTTTTTTTTTTTTTTTTTGTTTTTTGTTTTTTGTTTTTTGGAGACAGGGTCTTGCTCTGTCACCTGGGCTGGTGTGCAGTGGCATGACCATGGCTCACTGCAGTCTTGAACTCCTGGGTTCAAGCAGTCCTTCTGCCTTAGCCTCCCAGACAGCTGGGACTACAGGCATGTGCCACAATATTC